GACTAAAACATCAGAGTGGAGGGATTGATCTGTGCTTCACTGCTTCACTCACACAGAGTTCGTACAGAGTTTTGGTTTGACAAGAAGAACGTTTGTGTACATTTGTGACGTGTAGGTGGATGAATGAGCTTTGGCCGTTCAGACTGAAGTCACATGTCAAAAGATCAGATATGTATCAGTTTCAGGAGCACATATCCAAGTGTCCTGGGTCACATTTGAAAAAATCGGATCTGTGTGGTTCAGACTGACATTAAAAGATCAGATACAGGAACATAGGGGCTTTTTTTTTTTTTTACTTCTGTGACATCTGATTTATGTGCACAAAAAGTAACAAAAAAAAACCCCAAACATGTTAATTTAGTTGTTATTTCCCCACTCAAAATAAGACACCTATTGTCTAATTTTACACTGGAGGAGTCAAAAAAAAAAAAAAAAAGATTATGCATGTGGTTTTAAGTTTCGTTTCGGTAAAATGTAAACAAATATGTGCAAATCTGTGTGGACAGGGATGGATTGCGGACACAGAAACGACGTGTCTGGACGCGAATCGTTTCCGATACGGTGATACTCTGATTTATTTTAGTGTAAACATAATCTAAATGATATAAATATGTTGTGAACTCTTCAAACCCGCATAGAAAGAGTGTGTCTCACTGAAAGCGCTTCTAAAAAACCACACACACACACACCGTCGGCTTCAGTCTCGAGGGTTTAAAGCTCCAAATGTTAAAATATATCAAAGAAAGTCGCGCTCTCATCAGGCCCTTTTCACCGCCGTGTTTTTGATTTCCACAGCGTCTGACAAGTAAAAGGAGCAAGAGAGAGAGAGAAAGAAAAGATAAAAAGAGTGAGAGGAGGCGGTGAATGGGGCAAAGAGGGAGATACAGATCAGAGAAGGAGGGGGGGTTTGACTCCACGAGAGCCGGAGGGACACGGCTCCAGACGACTCGCCAAATGTGCCTGTAAATGTTCAATAGAAGCACTTAGGCAGGGTCTGAACCAGCTGCCTTCTGGTTAGAGGGCGCCGACTACCAACTGACGCCTCCCAAAAAATAATAATAATAAAGCAAAAGACCAAAACAAAATTCAGATTTGAGATGGCAGGTGAGGTGAGCAGGTGAGCTTGAATAACTTGCTGATAAAAACCATTTTGAGAACTTTTGCCTTTTTAAAAACATATTTCTGAATTGCTGCAAATGTCCCAATCTTTCATCTTTCTGAAACATATGCATAGGCCTAGTATCGATTGTTTTAAAAGGTGTACAGTACAACATTTTGGCTGCAAGGACCCCACTTCTGTAGAAAAATATTGCTTTGCATTAAACAAAAAAAATGTTTAAATTATTGGTGTTTTTATTGTGAACAATAAAACATCAAAATCAAAAACATGCATCTTTTTGTGAGCAAGCTCGACTTTCCACAGAGCTTGTCCAAACAGTGTCACCTGCTTTGTCTCCTTGAAGTTTAAAGGGCCCATCTCATGCAAAATAACTCTTTTCACATTGTATCTTCTGCACATAAACAAGGGTTACACCCTTATCATCAGAAAGCCCACTAGTCAGAAGGCCCACTAGTCAGAAAGCCCACTAGTCAGAAAGCCCACTAGTCAGAAGGCCCACTAGTCAGAAGGCCCTGTAGTGAGAAGCCCACTAGTCAGAAGCCACTAGTCAGAAGGCCCTGTAGTGAGAAGGCCCACTAGTCAGAAAGCCCACTAGTCAGAAAGCCCACTAGTCAGAAAGCCCACTAGTCAGAAAGCCCACTAGTCAGAAGGCCCACTAGTCAGAAAGCCCACTAGTCAGAAGGCCCTGTAGTGAGAAGGCCCACTAGTCAGAAAGCCCACTAGTCAGAAGGCCCACTAGTCAGAAAGCCCACTAGTCAGAAGGCCCACTAGTCAGAAAGCCCACTACTCAGAAGGCCCACAAGTCAGAAAATCATTCCCTCTTCTGTTGGTTTGTCAGCAACATTTCTCTTGAACAATTGAATGTATATTTGATGAAAGTAACAGGGAATAATCCCTGGATATCAGGGAAGAATTAGCAAGCATTTGGATGTTTACCAATTAAAAATGGCTGCAACATCAACATTTCTAGAGATATTGACAGGAAAACACATAATCATGCATAACAGCATTAGTGAATTTGTTGGTTTACAAACCCACCAATGCTATATTAATAGAAAAGGATTTAAAATAAAATTGAAATGAAGGTTGTAGAGCTCGAATTACTGAACATTTTGCAAGTTGTTGCCTGAAAATCAGACAATTATTAACTCTGTTCCACTTAAGACAGACATTTCCACCCAAATCATTATTTCCTCAAACATTTTCGCTGTATTTTAAGGGTTTAATATATTTATTACTTTTAATATTTACCTTTTAAAATATTTAAAACTTGAAATACAGTTTCATTTGTAACAATTTGTAACACGGCCTGAACATGGATTTTCTGACTAGAGGCTCTTCTGATGATAAAGCTGACCCCTAAACAAGCACAGTTTGGGTTTTGGAACATCCAAACCAGAAAGACCAGGATTGAGACCGGGACCAGACCAGGACTGAAAATGGTTTAGTCCTAGTTTAGTCCTGGTTTAAGTCACGGAAATGGGAAATGGCATTCCTGTGACTTTAAAATGTGATGTGGGACTATTGCCCCGCATACGTACTGAACCAGGACTGAACCAGGACTGAACCAGGACTGAATCAGGACTAAACCGTTTTCAGTCCTGGTCTGGTCCCGGTCTCAGTCCCAGTCTCAGTCCTGGTCCTGTTCCCGGTCTCAATCCTGGTCTCAGTTCTTCTGGCTTCTACTTTATTCTCATAATATTACGACTTTAATGTCGAAATGTTACGACTTTATTCTCGTAGCGCCAGCAAGTTTTTTTTATTTTTTATCTGACCCTTATACTCACTCATAGAGACACACATTATCCGAATGTGGAGCGTCTGTGTGGGAGCTCACAGTTCTAACTTCTAAACCTTCTTTCTTTCTGAACCAGTTTCCAAATCAGATTTGAGCACCATTTCAGAAATACTTCACTTGCAGACACAGTTTCACTCCCTGCAGGGTCTGTGATGTCTCCAGAACCGTGGAGATGACTGACGTTGGGGATAAATTGGCTGAGCGACTGTAGCTTTGTCTTTGAGACGTGATGACAGAGGAGGCGGCTGCAGTCAGGACCCCGGAGCTGTGGAGGATCAGACTCGCCCTCTGATCACAGCACACTTCCACAGGGAGAGAAAAGCCTGTTTGTGGCACATTTGCATTTATTTAACGAAGGATTAACCTGCAGCTTAGAAACACAAGAGCTGCCACGGTTTAATTAAAAGGAACCGAGTCAGGAGAAGAAGAGTTTATTAATGAGCTGGAAGTTTGTGGAATTAATAAACTTTAAATAATATTACAGAAAATGTTGGCAAAGATACTGAGATACTTGGATGTCAGAGCTTCTTCTGAATCTGTGCATTGAGATCAGCAGTGGAGCGTCAGGGCCTGCAAGACCTTCTCTACTGGCCTAAAAAAATATCTGAATCACAGACTGTTGTGAATTATATTATTATTATTATTATTATTATTATTATTATTATTAAATAATTCCAAATGTTCTGTCCTCTTCCTTTCAGAGCTTTTCCGATGCTTGTGCTGCTTCCACACATGGATTTTCATATTAAAGCATTTGACCATCACATTTCAGCCATCACTTGTTGCCAGGCAGAGTCAAAGTCAAAGAAGTCTGATGCCTTCACAATCTGTTCTGCAGGAACTCGAACACAAAATAAATGTCGATGAAACTGTTGCTTCAACCAATCAGATTTTGAGTTGGTGTCACCAGGACCTTTAACAGCGAACGACAACGTCACCAGATTCAGACCCATGACTGGACAGAGAGAACCAGACAAAACAGCAAACTGTATCTGTAGCAGAATCAGGACTAAACCAGGTCTAAACCAGGAATAAACCAGGTCTAAATCAGGACTAAACCAGGTCTAAATCAGGACTAAACCAAGTCTAAACCAAGTCTAAACCAGGTCTAAACCAGGACTAAACCAGGTCTAAACTAGGTCTAATCCAGGTCTAAGCCAGGACTACACCAGGTCTAAACCAGGTCTAAATCAGGACTAAACCAGGTCTAAAGCAGGTCTAAATCAGGACTAAACCAGAGAGCGAGAGAGAGTAAGTGAGAGCGTCCTCAAAGCGCATTCAGGCGATAGTTCACTGAGCCCCATGTGGCCGCCGGGCAGTGTGGAGCACCGGCCCCTGCGCGTTCCTTTCCTCTGCGATCACCCCACAGTCTACGCGGGCGCACCTTCGAGCCAGTCCCGACATACAGTCCTGGTTTAGTTCTGGTTTAAGTCCTGGTTTAGCACCCCAGCGCTCCTCACTTCTTCTCCGCGCACAGAATCTCCACAGCTCTTTATACTGTGTTTAATACAACCATAAAATAGTTCTTGAGGAGGAGTATTGAAGATTGTTTCAGACGGAACATTACTGAAGGCCTAGATGTGAAATACACGCTCCGCCACTCATTGAAATAGATGTTGTCTAACCCTACACTGGATCCTTTTGAATTGTCCCACCTGCTCAGTGACTGGAGCCTGTGGTGATTATTTTCAATATCATTGGTCTGCGAAACATAAATGGGCGTTTCTTCCCTAAACAGGAACGTCTACCGTTTTTATCTTATGTCCTCTTCCAAAACAAAACCAAAAAAAACTACACTGTACTGCCTACTTCCTCCAGTATTTTCAACACAATAGTAGGTCGACTGCAATCATTTGGATACGAAAAAACTGCAGTCATGACAAATACTCGTGTTAACGCTGTACTCGGGTTATGTCGGTAAGTATCATTTATTTGTACAGTTTGGGTAATTCCAGTGAGCCATGACCATCTCTCCCTCCTGTACTGTGTTTAGGTTTCTCTTTTCCAGTTCAGCGCATGGAGCCAGGCTAAAATCTCCCACCAGCGACAGCACATCCACAAGCTGGCCCTTCACAAAAAGTGTCAGAGTAAGTACGATGGAGCACGCAGAGACACCGAGGAGTCAAACAAGAGCACAAATCCAGGGAACAGAGGCTGAGTGAATGTGGTGTTGAAGGTGTGGAGGTGAGTCAGTTGGTCAGAGGAGACTGTGTAGAAGGACAGAGAGCCAGCAGGACAGTCCACAAACACTGCTACTCTCCCAGAAGAGGAGGACCTGCGCTGAGGGAGGTGGGTTTCTCTGTTATTATGCCAGACAGATAAACCGTCTTTAGAACAGGCCAGACTCCAGGACTGATCGTTGCGTCCAAACAAACTGTCATTGTCTCCTTTCCTCCTGATTCCTCTGTAAGACAGCGAAATAGAAACCCCTCCACTCCACTCGACCTCCCAGTAACAGCGACCGGACAGACCGCCGGAACACAGAATCTGAGTCCAGGTCTCAAATCTGTCCTGATGATCTGGATACGGCTGCTGCTCTTTCACTCGTGTCACCTTCTTGTTGTTGTCGGACAGTTTGAGGAGCCTGTGAGCTGTGTTTGGATCCAGAGTGAGATCACAGAAATCTGATGGAGAGAAGAAACAAAACAGCAGCAGTTAGTCCCCTGTCCACTCTCAACATTCAAAGACAAACATATACTAGTCCACCACAAATAATTCAAGTATCATGATAAAGTCAAACCCATATATGATACAAACTCATGGCACATAGAGTAATTAGAGTTAATAATTGTCGCTTACAGATCATGAAAAAACAAAATTACGTTTCTCAGAAAATTTGAATATTGTGAAAATGATGAATATCGAGAAGTCATGGTGTCATAGCCTCATTCATCAGCCAGTTTCACCGTCTGACCTCACAGCATTACAATTTGTTCACTCGAAAAGTAGGCGGGTACTTTTTTACTTTAACCAATCGCTGCTATTTGGTTGTGACATATGTAATGCACCACTAACGGGACTAACTGGTATGTTAAGCTTTTCCCAAATCCCGTCGGAAGAAGGACAATAACGTCTTTCCCCTTGATAAAATTCACCAAACATTCTCTTTGTTCTGGCTTTAAATCCTCGATCTCGGGAATCGTTGCCAACACAGAATGTCTGGCTCTTCGCTGATTGGCTGGTGCCCGGACTCGCACTTCCAGGGTTCTTGCAAATCATCTAGTGTAATCTGATTTCTGACCTAGTCACTGGAGAGAAATGAAATTGAGCGGAGGCACTAGGTGGCACCAGCCTGGCTAATGGTGTCACTTCTTAATCAGTGAATTAACTTAAAGCAACTGCAAAGGTTTCCTTAACATTTAAATGGTCTCCCAGTCTGTGTCATTTGGCTACACTGTCATGGGGAAGGCTGCTGACTGGACAGTCGTTAAGTCAGTGACACCCTCCTCAAGGAGAAAGCCACTAAACAACATTGCTAAAGAAGTTGGTTGTTCAGAGAGTGCTGTACTCAAGCATATTAATTAAAACCTGAGTGGAAGAAAAAAATGTGTTAGGAAAAGGTGGACCAGTCAAAGGGATCACCGCAGGCTTGAGACGATTGTCAAGCAACATCCATTCAAGAATTTGGGGAAGATTCATAAGGAGTTGCCTGAGGCTGGAGTCAACACATCCAGAGCCACTACGCACAGACGAAGCCGGTATGGGACAAGAGACGATGTCAGAAGAGTCTGACCTGGGCTGTGGAGAAAAAGAACTGGACTGTTCCTGGTCCAAAGTCCTCTTTTCAGATGAAAGTACATTTTGCATATCTTTTGGAAATCAAGGTCCCAGAGCCTGGAGGAAGAGTGGAGAGGCAGAGAATCCACATTGCTTCAAGTCCAGTGTGAAGTTTCCACAGTCTTGATGACTGATTTGTGCTGCTGCGTCATCTGCTGGAGTTGGTCCAATGTGTTTCCTGAAGTCCACAGTCAATGCAGCCATCTACCAGGACATTTTACAGCACCTCATGTTTTCTTCTGTTGACAAGCTTTATGAAGGTGCTTATTTCATTTTCCAGCAGGATTTGGCCTCTGCCCACACAGCCAAAGGTACCAAAAGATGACTCACTGACCCTAGTGTTACTCTGCTTGATTGGCCTGCAAACTCGCCTGACCTGACCCCAAACAGAATATCTGGGAGACTGTCAAGAGAAAGATGAGAGACACCAGCGCCAACAATGCAGATGCTCTGAAGGCCGATATCAAAGCAACCAGGGCTTCCATTACACCTGAGCAGTGCCACCATAAGCCTCCATGCCACTGTGCAGTGATGGCCAGCTACTGTGGTATACACATTTATACTGCATGTTTTTATTTTTAAAGGCAAAACAGCAGTTGTTTGTGTTGGGATCTACTTGACAGCAAAAGGAGGTCACGGCATCATTTCCCTCAGCAGGTGTTTTTTATGGCCTTCTAAAGTGGGTGGCTTATACCCCCCAAGTAGTGGTAGATGCCGTGGGATGTTTGGAGCCATTATCACAGCCTTACCCTCTTTGCTCCTCACCCATCACCAGTGTTTAGCACAGCCACTATCACTGTATCTCAGTCTGAGCTTTGGGGTTAGGTAGACTAAGGAGGTTCTTGAGATTTTGTGTAACCCAGTAAGCACAATCTCAGCTTTAAGGACCCCTCATGAGTTTTAAACGGTGTAAATGAGAGAGCTGCAGTTCTCGGTGAGAGCAATGTTATTGACTGACTTGTAATGTGTTAATATAATTACTTTTTGTATTTGTCTGACATTTGCTGTTGTTATATTCATAAGGAAAACTGACAGCAGAGGCACAGCTCAGAGGAGAACAGGGGATTGATTTAATTCCACTTTCTCCAGAAACAGAATGAAGATCATGTTATATATGTTTAAGATGAAACATGAGTGCAAGTTACACAGCTCCAGACTGGACTCTTCAAGACCTCCTTAAGAAAACCCTCAGGATTCAGCCATGGACATGGCCGTGGACTAATTGCTGTTTTGCAGTATTAAATTTGACTATCTTTTTGGGTTTGGTTTGTCACTGTTAAATAAATCTCTTAAATAAATCAAGAAATCAAGAAGAACAGATATTATATGATGGGTTAATTAATCTCAACAATATTCATTGCATACTTACTCTTCCATGGGCACATTTTCAACCAGTGAACACCTGCAGGCTCCAGTCTGAAGGAGAACAGAGAACATGGTCCATTACTGAGTTGTATTAAATCTTTACATTGAATGTTAATACTGATTCTGTATAGTAGCAGAATAAATGGAGCAGTTGCTGCTCCACAGGAGTAGAAGTGTGAGAACAGGTCCATACCTGAGAGTGTCCAGTGTGCAGTGGGGGTCCTCCTGTAGAGCACACAGGAGCTTTACTCCTGTGTCTCCTGGATGGTTGTAGCTTAGGTCCAGTTCTCTCAGATGGGAGGGGTTGGACCTCAGAGCTGAGGCCAGAGAAGCACAGCCTTCCTCTGAGGCCAGGCAACCTGACAGTCTGAGGACACACATTATTGAAATCAGTCAATAAATTAGTAAAATTCAACCCAAATGATATATAAATAAACAAGCTCCATATCTTTATGTTACTTTTACCCGTTACTATTTTTCAAAAGAACACCCAACAGGTTATTTAATAATGGTGAAAAATATAAACCCCACTAACCTGAGCTGTTCCAATTTACAGTGAGGACTTTTCAGTCCAACAGACAATTTCTTCAGCCCTGAGTCCTTCAAGTCGTTATGACAGAGGTACAGGACTCTCAGCCTAGAGGACTGGGAGCTGAGGACTGAGGACAGAGCTTCACAGCTTCTCTCTGACAGGTTACAGCTGCTCAGTCTGGAGAGAGAAAACATTGTTCATGTAAAACGTGAATCAAACCATTCTCTGTTAAACAAAGGTTACTCACAGAGCTTTGTTGGAGGCCTTGACCACTGGCAGCAGCCTCAGGAGAGCCTCCTCTGAAGCACAGTATTTCTTCAGCTCAAACTGGTCCAGATCTTTTTCTGATGACAGTAAGATGAAGGCCAGAGCTGACCACTGAGCAGGAGACAGTCCACCTTCAGACAGACATCCTGATCTCAGGTACTGTTGGATCTGCTCCACCAGAGAACGATCATTCAGTTCATTTAGACAATGCAACAGGTTGATGCTCCTCTCTGCAGACACATCCTCACTCAGCTTCATCTTGATGTACTCAGCTGTTTTCTGATTGGTCTGAAAGCTACTTTCTGTCTGTGTCAGCAGACCTTGTAGAAGGCTCTGATTGGTCGACACTGAAAGACCCAGGAGAAAGCGAAGCAGCAGGTCCAGGTGTCCATTTGGACTTTGTAAGGCTTGGTCCACAGCTGTTTGGTAAAACTTGAAAGGATCTTTGTACGTGATTTGATGCTGTATTCTGGGGAAACTTGACATTTTCTCTGCTAAAAGGTTGATCCCAGTGTTGATGAAGGTCAGATGGACATGAAGAGCAGCCAGAAACTCCTGCACACTCAGATGGATGAAGCAGTAGACCTTTTCCTGGTACAGTCCTGGCTCATCTTTAAAGATCTGTGTGAATACTCCAGAGTACACTGAGGCCGCTGCAGCTTCCAGCCCACACTCACTCAGGTCACTCTCGTAGAAGATCAGGTTTCCTTTCTGCAGCTGCTCAAAGGCCAGTTTTCCCAAAGACGTCACCATCTTCCTTGTCTCAGGACTCCAGTGTGGGTCTGTCTCAGATCCTCCTTCATACTTGATTTTCTTGACTTTGGCCTGAACCACCAGGAGGTGGATGTACATCTGAGTCAGGGTCTTGGGCAGGCTCTCCTCTGCTTTTCAACACATGCTCCAGGACTGTGGCAGAGATCCAGCAGAAGATCGGCATGTAGCACATGATGTGGAGGCTTCTGGACGTCTTGATGTGGGAGATGATTGTGTCGGCCTCGTCTCTGAACCTCTTCCTGAAGTACTGTTCCTTCTGCAGGTCGGTGAACCCTCTGACCTCTGTCACCATGGAGACGCACTCAGCAGGGATCTGATTGGCCGCCGCGGGTCGTGTGGTTATCCAGAGGCGAGCAGAGGGAAGCAGGCTCCCCCTGATGAGGTTCACCAGCAGCACGTGCACTGAGGCGGACTCTGTGGGGTCGGTCAGGGCCTTGGTTTTGGTGAAGTCCAGAGGAAGTCTGCACTCGTCCAGACCGTCAAAGATGAAGAGCACCTGGAGGTCTTCAAAGCTGCAGATTTCTGCTTGTGTTTGACTAAAGAAGTGACGAATAAGTGTCACCAAGCTGAAGCTTCTCTCCTTCAGCACGTTGAGTGCTCTGAAAGTGAACGGGAACAGCAGGTCAATGTCCTGGTTGGCGTTGCCTTCAGCCCAGTCCAGACTGAACTTCTGCGTGAGCACTGTTTTCCCGATGCCAGCCACTCCCTTTGTCAGCACTGTTCTGATTGGTTCATGTCTGTGAGCTGGACCTTTAAACATGTCTTCACATGTGGTGGTTTTCTCTGCTGGGCCTGGTTTCCTGGGGGCTGTTTCCATGTGTCTGACCTCATGTTCCTGGTTGACCTGTGAAGGTTCTCCCTCTGTGATGTAGAGCTCTGTGTAGATCTGTTTCAGAAGGGTGGGGTTTCCTGCTTTAGCGATGCCCTCAAACACACACTCAAACTTCTGCTGCAGGTCAGACTTCAGTTTACTCTGATAAACCCGAGAATAACTCCCTGAATGAAGAAAACAGATGATCCCTGAGTTAGCTTTTTAGCGTCTTGTTGACAAGGTAAGGTCTTTTAATTCTTGTTTGATTCTACACCATCATACCATCCTACTCGAACACCTTGAATCCTGGGTTGAGTCCAGCTTTCACTCTCCTAAAATTTTACATTCTAAACTGAACATTCTCTGTCTTTGTAGGTAATTTAAATTCTTCATAAACTAGTTTCAGATACAATGCTCTGTTCTTGCGTCTTTTCATTTTATATGCTGCCACTGGGAATAATGGTAGAATGCTCCAACATCTTGTATCATTATTGGGCTTCTCTCTTTTAACTCCACCTCCACTTACAGTTCCACGTTGGCAGGTGTTTAATCTCTGTTCCCATGTCAAGTGGCCTCATCCTTGAAGATCACCTGTGCACTATATCTGTTTGTTAGTTAGATCTGTTGAACTGCACTCAGTGTGACCTGTGCCTGAGTCATACAGTATTAGTATAATCATTGAGGGTGCTTTCACATCTCTGAGTATACAGGCTATATCACTATTGCTTTCTTTGTTTTGATTTAGGTTTGAGGATGGAGTTGTAAATAGGAGATAGATGACTAAGAACCCCATTCCTGTTTAAAGACGGATTGCCTTTCTTACCAAAAGTTGCGTCTTTAACTGCCCTCTCAAATCACAAATGCTTAAATGAACTTGCACCTAGCTGTCTTAGTCACATTCTAAACCTGTACATTCCATCCTAAACATTGAGGTTTGGTGGAGAAGCTTTGTTTGCTGTGCCCAGGTCTCAAACGGTCCAAATCTGGCTAATTCACCTCTGCTTTTAATAATATATAGTTTTGTATTATTTGCATTGAGCCAGTTCTGTGTGAAGCACTCTGTGACAATCGCTTAGAAAAGTGTTATACAAATAAAGTATATTATTATATTATTATTAAAATGTGTTAAATGGTCCTACTGCTCCACAAACTCCCAGCCAGCTCCTTCTGCTTCATCCTCCCCAGGAAGTTCAGTGTGATCTTCAGAACAGCCTCACTGCAGCTCCTCTGCTCTTCATCCTCGTCCTTCAAAAGCTCTAAGCATTCTGGGTAATCTGTACTCAGAACCTTGTGGAGCTTCTTCAGCTCTTTCTGGACAAAAGTGACGATGTCCTCCTCCAGACGCTGAACAGACACATTATAAACAACACAAATGCAGTCAGTGTCAGATCTGTGTGGAACAAGTTCTCATTCATCTGAACATTTACAAACTTTATTTAAGGACAGACCTTAAATATGGAGTCCAGCTGTGTCTGATGGACCTTTGGACTCGGCTGTTCCACTCTGTTAATGATGAAAAATAAAAACACCCAATAAACTTTTTTTTTTTTTTCTTTTAAACATCACTCATAGAATTGATTCTTTTGCAAAAGTCCTTGATGCCACAAGACAGACAAGTCACTCCTGAGGGCCCTCACAGCTTGGATCTTCTCAATAAACCTGTACTTTGGAAAGACTTTTTATACAATAGATTTCACCATACACTGACTACTTTTATTTTCATGTGTCAAGTGTAAAGTGTAAAGTGTACTACTCTAAAACCATAGCTGGACATCTCCAGAGTCCAGAAATCCTGTATTTCTGTATGTAGGCCATTTAACTTAATGTCATTTTCTTGTTAGCTTCACATACAGTGGATAATGTGCTCATATAAAATCCACCAATTGTCCCATTGAGTCCTGACACACTGTCACAGAGCCACAAAAACAAAAAAACAAAAAAAACAAAAAAAAAGTTTTGGCCTTTTTACATCATATATTTTATCAATACAATTTGCATTGTCCTACTAATGTATGATCTCAGGTAGAACTAAGTGTCCTAATTACTGTAAAGAAGCTTGACGTACTGTGATTCTCTTTTAAAATCCATGTATCGTCCAATAGAGTCGTCACTCTTCAGTGAAACCCCGCTGGTCCCAGGAGCAGGTCTGTGGACACAGATGGAGCAGTGGCTTTAGTCTGAGCTCAGAAAACAGCTCGAGAAATGTGTTTGCACACAGTTAGGATCCAACAACCACACAATTACAATGTCCGAATCCCAAAACTAAAATATGACAATATCAGAACCAGAAACAAAAACGATATGGTTCAAAAGACTTGAAAAGATCGACTTTGTCAATAGACGCATCCCACTGGGAAAACAAACATGGAGGTTTGATGCTCACTTTTTCAGAAAATACTTCCCAGTATGAATTGCACAATGATCAGAAGTCCGAATATTCTTGATGCGTGTATTGTATATATATTCTCATGTTGACTGTTAAATATCGATTGTTTTTGTGACATGTTATAAACGGCTAATTACCCCATGCAAGCAGAACAGAGAAGAAGTTGAGTTAGTTTCTTTAAAGAAGCTTGACGTACTGTGAATATGGTTCTCTTTTAAAATCCATGTATCGTCCAATAGAGTCGTCACTCTTCAGTGAAACCCCGCTGATCCCAGGAGCAGGTCTGTGGACACAGATGGAGCAGTGGCTTTAGTCTGAGCTCTGACATGGACAAACAGTGGTGGAGAATTATGTTGCGCTCCTAAAACATTTGTGCATCACTAGAGTTTGTTTCACATGAATCTTGGCGCTTGTCTGCACTAGTCCAGAATTTAAGCATTCACACATCACAGGCGTCAAACACGAAAAACCTGGACCATCGACCAACCAAGAAGTTTCCTCCAGAAGACAAAGACCAAAATATGCTTAGTGGATGAATGGATATCAATAGCTCCATCCAAATGTGTTTCAGTCATAGCCAAAATAAGCAAATTATAGCTTTCCAAAATACCTTTAAATCTCCTGAATCTTTTTTCTAAAGTTATAAATATTCAGATGGACTATTTTCAATCTTTTATTTGATAGTACATTATCTCTCACCATAACAGGTTATACTTGTATACCTTTTGATCAAACATTTCACAATTGTAGAGCTATAAAATAAACAAAAAGGACAAGCAAATAAGACAGACACACATTCATTCACATAAACACACATCCACTTTGACAGCATTTATAACGACCAGAAGTTACACCAGCCCAGACAATCCTCGTCCCTGACTGCTCCTCTGACCTTCCCACTCCACTCTGACCATCTGCTGTGAAACTGGTGTCTGCACTGGTCCCAAACTATGCAGCCACTACTCAGCTTCAAGCCCTGTTTACATTACGTTATAACTCAATGGTGACTTTTGCCCAAGCCTCATCTTTGCTATGTGTACGTATTTCGTTTCATGACTCCAAAATGGAATAAAACGAATGCTTTTAAAAACATCTCAAGAAATCAGTGCTTGGAAATGAAATGATGCTACGTGGTTAATTCTAACCTGTCATTCATACATACACGCATCAAGAATCTAGGACTTCCGGTCATTGCACAATTCATACTGGGAAGGGTTTTCCGAAAAAGTGAGCATCAAACCTCCATGTTTGTTTTCCCAGTGGGATGTGTCTACTGTCAAAGCCGATATTTTCAAGTCTTTTGAACCATATCGCTTTTGTTTTTGGTTCTGATATTGTCATATTTCAGTTTTGGGATTCGGACATCGTTAATTGTGTGGTTGTTGGATATTAACAGCGGAAAACGGCTCGAGAAATGTGTTTGCGAACTGTTAGGACATTCAACAACCAGAAATCAGTGCTTGGAAATGAAATTATGCTACGTGGTTGATTCTAACCTGTCATTCAAACATTGCATATACAGGCTCATGCTGACTGTTAAATATCGATTGTTTTTGGGACATGTTTTAAACCGCTAATTACTGTATTTTCTGGGTCATTAGACGCGCTCTTAAGCCTCTAACTGCATCAAAAAACGACCGCAATCCAGAGCGCCCCATACACGAATCCACTCGGGCGTCCCAGCACGACTTCAGTAAACTACAAAGCCGCACCACCCGCAGTGCACGCAGACAGCGACCGCACAGCGAAAAACACCCACAGACACACTCATCACTCCACACCGACGAGGAACGAACCGAAAAAGCGAGCGCAACGTGCCGCTTCTAGACACGACTGAACAACTGAGTCACTGCGAACACGCCGACAATCCGTCGGTCCCAGACAGCACCTCCCTACACGCCACAACTGAACACAGCCCAGAGTCACCGTGAACGCCACAAACAAAGTAAGACTGACCCATGTGACTGTTGTGTTTCGTTTAAAGTCCAGTGCAGTTTATTTGTGAAAAAAGTTTGAAAATAGACCATTTAATGACGGAAAATAGCCCGGAAAATACGGCACCTCATGCAAGCAGAACAGAGAAGAAGTTGAGTTAGTTTCTTTAAAGAAGCTTGACGTACTGTGAATATGGTTCTCTTTTAAAATCCATGTATCGTCCAATAGAGTCGTCACTCTTCAGTGAAACCCCGCTGATCCCAGGAGCAGGTCTGTGGACACAGATGGAGCAGTGGCTTTAGTCTGAGCTCTGACATGGACAAACAGTGGCGGAGAATTATTGTGCGCTCCTAAAATATTTGTGCATCACTAGAGTTTGTTTTACATGAATCTTGGCGCTTGTCTGCACTAGTCCAGAATTTGAGCATTCACACATCACAGGCGAAAAACCTGGACCATCGACCAACCAAGAAGTTTCCTCCAGAAGACAAAGACCAAAATATGCCCAGTGGATGAATGGATATCAATAGCTCCATCCAAATGTGTTTCAATCATGTCCAAAATAAGCAAATTATAGCTTTCCAAAATTCCTTTAAATCTCTCCTCTTTAAATCTCCTAAATCTTTATATTTCTGAAGTTACAAATATTCAGATGGGCTATTTTCAATCTTTTATTTGATAGTACATTATCTCTCACCATAACATGTTATACTTGTATACCTTTTGATCAAAATTTCACAATTGTAGAGCTATAAAATAAACAAAAAGGACAAGCAAATAAGACAGACACAGAAGAAGTTGAGTTAGTTTCTTTAAAGAAGTTTGACATACTGTGATTCTCTTTTAAAATCCATGTATCGTCCAATAGAGTCGTCACTCTTCAGTGAAACCCCGCTGGTCCCAGGAGCAGGTCTGTGGACACAGATGGAGCAGTGGCTTTAGTCTGAGCTCTGACGTGGACAAACAGTGGTGGAGCGTTAAAGATCGTCTCTTACCTCTGAGTTTTTCGGGGGTCAGTGGGTTTAGAGGGATCCATGTTCGGTCCAGTCTGGTCCACAGTGAGAGGGCAGAGGTGCTGCTGCAGCCCAGGACGCCTGAGGGACACAGGGACACACATTAAATTACAGAACTCAGCACTGGGGCCGGGGGTCTCATTTAGGGACTTCTTTCCTCTGTTTTATTTTGACACCATGTTTCTTGTTGTACATTGAGTATGTTTACATGCACATCAGTATCCGGGTTATGATGGGGTTTTTAGAGTATCCTGGTTTCTTCATGGTGCATGTAAACACAGTACCCTGGTTTCAGTATCCTGGTTATTAGAAACCAGGTTACTGTAGCTGGTATTTTTCGATAGTAACCGGGATACTGTGACATGTAAACGCAGTATCCTGGTTACTGCAACATAAAGTTGAGTGCACATGCGTCCAGAAGACAAACACTTTTCAGTCTTTTCACCGCAACAGTAGTGACATAAATAAAGTGTCCAACGTAAATAAAGTAAACTAGGTCTAAACTAGGACTAAAACTAAACCAGGTCTAAAACCAGGTCTAAAACCAGGTCTAAACTAGGACTAAACCAGGACTAAACCAGGTCTAAAACCAGGTCTAAAACCAGGTCTAAACTAGGACTAAACCAGGACTAAACCAGGTCTAAAACCAAGTCTAAACCTGGTCTAAAACCAGGTCTAAACTAGGTCTAAACTAGGACTAAATCAAGTCTAAACCTGGTCTAAACTAGGTCTAAAACCAGGTCTAAACCTGGGCTAAACCAGGTCAAAAACCAGGTCTAAACCAGGTCTAAACAAGGTCTAAACTAGGACTAAACCAGGACTAAAACCAGGTCTAAACTAGGTCTCAAACAGGATTTAACAAGACTAAACTTCTTCTATCATTAATATTTTTAATCTGGTTGAGTAAAGTCTGGGCTTTTTATTTTCTTTTATCAGACAAAACATCTTATGTGAAGATTTCCTCGTCTTTGTTTCTCTACAGCAAATCAAGTAATCCAAAGTAATCAGATTACATTACTCACCTTAAGTAACTTAATGTATTTCATTACAAACTACATTTTGGTGTATGTAATCTGTCATCTGTTGGGGAATACATTTTAAAAGTCATCTTCCCAACACTGCGTATGACATGCAATTAATCCAGATTAATCACACTCGAACTCATGTGATTAATGTGATTAATATTTTTTATTTTTGCCCAGCCCTGGTAAAAATTTATGTTTTGCAATGTTGAGTGATAAAAACACCTGGAATTGAATAAATGCAGAATAGATAAACTGAAGGTTCACAGGACAGGTTAGACTCATTTCACTAAAACACAGATATATTATCATTATATTTAAGATTTTATTACAAATATTGCCTAGTTTTCACCAGTGTAAGTACTTATTTATTTGTTTCTTTGTTCATTTCAATGATAAACTGCTATAACAAAACTACAGGAGCCTCGTAACTACATGGAAACACAGGGACGAGTACAAGATTAACTGAACTTTTAGGCCATTTTTTGTCCATTTTCTTTGTGCCCCTGATGTCCAAGACAGATTTATCCATTTGGCAACAGTAAAGGTTTATCATATCTTACTCCACACCAATAAAACAGCTCGACGAACCTGCTGACCAAAGAATACACTTGTCCAAAATTAATAATAAAATATGAATCATTAATCTCCATCTGGCTCTGGAAGATCATAGTCCAACGCTCTTACTGTAAACAATAAAACCACCAGATTTTATAGTTTTGTTGTTGTCACGTCTGTCAAAGATCTCAGGATTGACTTTATATCAAACTTTTAACATGTGACTAAAACATCGTCTTTCTCTGGAAAATATGACTCAGTAAACACAAACAGGTGAAAAGTCAGGGGTGTCCTAACTTTTTTCATCAAGGGCCACAAATCTAAACACAAACAAAGCAGAGGACTGATCGAGGGCTGTAGACTGGTGCTCAGTACAGTGAATCATTGAAATATGTGCATGTTTAACACTTTAGCATGAATAAAAACTGACGGCTCACGCTAAGACCCTTAAAACCACACACTAAATGTTAAATATGAGCTTTATCAAGGTAGATTTTCCAAAAACTTACGGTAAGAAGTTGATTTTTAATTGATGTAATTTGGGCCAATTCACCTGAAAGCCTGAGGGCCAAGAAAAATTTGTCTGAGGGTCGCATTTGGCCCATGGGCCGTAATTTGGACATGCCTGTATTACATAAAGAATGTATTCAAAAAGCCACTCAAGTGACTGTGACACAATAGAAGTAAATTTAAGCCAATACTACCTCAGACAAACAGTGACCCCAAAACCTCCTCCTCTTCTCCTTTTGTCTTCTGCTCCTTTATTCCTCCTCTGCTCCTCTGTTCCTTCTCTCCTTAGCTCCTTCTTTCTCAGTTATAACATAAACCCGATCAAGTTAATCATTTATTTTACTCTAAAGTCACGTGATGCAGGGCTGGACATGGGCCTGGGCGGGACGATACTACTGCACTTCTACAGAGAGAAGAACAGAACAGAGGAGGAGAGGAGAAAAGGAGGAACAGATTGTATATGACTCAATAACTTCTACTTCATTCATTAAAATTACAGATAACAATTCAATTAGTACAGTTTTTATGCTTTGTGCCTCTGTATGTAGTAGTAGTAGTAGTACTAGTACTGGTAGTAGTAGTAGTAATGATTTACTGTTGTAGATTTACTACAGAGGCTGTTGAATACATTGAATGTATAAGCACTTTGTCACATTAAATCATTATAACTTTATCCACACTATTATATAATCAGATAATCAGTGTTGGGAAGGTGACTTTTAAAATGTAATCCCCTACAGATTACAGATTACACACACCAAAATGTAGTTTGTAACGGAATCCATTAAATTACTTAAAGTGAGTAACGTAATCTGAATACTTTGGATTACTTGATTTGCTGTAGAGAAGCAAAGATGAAGATATCATAACATAAGACGTTTTGTCTGATAAAAGAAAATAAAAAGACCAAACTTTACTGAACCAAATTAAAAATAGTATTGATAGTTTAGTCCTGTTAAACCCTGGTTTAGTCCTGGTTTAGACCAGGGTTTAGACCTGGTTTTAGACCTGTTTGAGTCCTGGTTTTGATCTGGTTTAAATCTAGTTTAGACCTGGTTTTAATCCTGGTTTAGTTCTGGTTTTGATCTGGTTTAGGTCTAGTTTTGATCTAGTTTAGACCTGGTTTTAGTCCTGGTTTAGACCTGTTTTAGACATGGTTTAGATCTGGTTTAGTCCTGGTTTAGATCTGGTTTAGGGGGATATAGCCCAAAATGTGAAAAGAGTAAAATACCACCGTGTAATCCATTTATTTCAACAAAGTAACTGTAATCCAATTACCACTCACTGAAACAGTAACTGTAACTGAATACAGTTACTCATATTTGTACTCTGATTACGTAACTCCGGTACATGTAATCTGTTACTCCCCAACACTACATATAACAAAAAAAAACAACAACAACAACAACAACAAAAATAAAACACATAAAAACACATCAGCCCTGCTTCAGATTCACTAAGAGTCACAATACTGTAATCGAGTTTTTCAGGTAATTGTACTTTCAGTATGTATTTAAACCTGTATGTTACTTCAGCAAAAGTCCCAGTCGTCCTGATCCTCGGCCGCGTCACCTCTGCTCCGACAAACACATCACTGAACCTCCTGCTGTGAGAGAATATGCAGGCTGAGGTTTGAAAAGTATAAATATTGATCTAAAATGCCACTGAACATCTGTTAAAAAGAAACTAGTACACTTAGTAGTATTTTTCTTAATTTTTCAATAATTTGGTCATGAAATTAAATGGAGCTGATGACAGAAAAGACACGAGGATGTGAAGAAATCGACATTGCAGCATTTGGACCGCAGACAAGGTAAAAAACACACTTTAGGACATCGCTGTAAACGGCCTCATGTGCTTGAGCAGCTTTTGTACAGATCCAGATCAAACCAAACTATAGATCAGAGCTGATCCAGGGAGCGGGTGAGGGGCTGTGCTCTGCTGCGGGAGGAGAGCATCTGGACGACACACGAACATGTTAAGCTTTTATCATCCTAATATATTTCCAAATAAAAGAAGCCTTGAGCTTGTTACACCTTGTTTTTCAGTGAACTGGAATGATATTTATTTTTACTCTGGCACTTCACTGAACACCTGCCCTCAGTCTGCTCCTCTCCACCTGATACTCAGACATGGCACACGTCTCGCACACCCCACATTGACTCTAGCGCTAAGATGGGAGCAAGATTGAGCCTGTAGTGTTCAGACAGAGCCAGAGGGAGCCGCAGGCCCAGACCTGCTCATTTCTATTTATTCAATCACCAAATCACCTGAAGGTTTTCTATTTTAGTTTATACAGACAATTCACAGAAAGACTGAGACAGACTGAGCTCTGAGTTACTGTTATTTGTCTGTTTTGAGTTCTGAGTCACACGTAAAAGATCTGATATAAATTCTCTCCTGAGATCTTTGATACATTGAATAAAACAATATAATAAGGTGTTTTTATTGCTGTTCATAGTAAACATGTTGGACTGTGATCCTCCAGAAGCTCATGAAGGTTAATGATTCACATTTATCAAGTTACTATAGTCGAGTTTCAGATGACATCACATCACTCTTTAGATCAGTAATATTCAAGACAAATGGAGACAGACAGAATTGATATCGTTAAAATACAGATATTTACTTGATTGATAGAAATGTCAAGTTCAACTTCTTAGATTGAGATTCAAGATTTTATTATCATTATCAAAGAAAACAATTAAATTACATTAAAGTATCAAAATTTTTTTAAACCTGACGTAAAGTGCAATAATAACAACCGTGTAAACATGAACACAATAATGAGAATGACATTAACACATTCTCGAATCTGAAAATCACCAACAGAGACAGATCCACTTTGGAGAAACATATAAGTGTTGTGTTTATTTACCGAGTGCGAAGTGAATGAATAATGAATTATAAAATACTTTAAGAACACGGAAAGGTGCAATATGAATGAAAAAAATCATTATTATTCATTGCTTTAGTCAATTTCTTTTAGTTTTGTGCCCATCAGTATCAGACGAGCAGGTTTACAGGATCATAGGCTGAACCACACACACACACACACACACACACACACACACACACACACACACACACACACACACACACACACACACACACACACACACACACACACACACACACACACACACACACACACACACCACCTCACTGTCTCTA